TACAGTCAGCGTTGGTATCGGTGCAAAGATGTTTCAGACAGAAAGTGTTTGATATTAAACAAACCCTGAAATGTCTGCGTGTCCAAATATTTATGGTCCACACTGTAAGCTGCTGGTGTTATCTCCCTTGCCATCATCAAATCAATACACCTGTACTGAATCAAATATTTATATCAATATTTCACAGAGCATAGAGAATATATTGCATAATTAATAGGTCTATTGTTTCAGCTGCTTCAGGCTGCAGGAGGGTTACCTGTTTGGGGAAAGCCTGCGCTGATATATAATAGATGAGGAAGTGTTTCAGCCTCCTCTGCACATGCTGGCATACAGACACAGGCTCATGCTGAACAGAGGCTTCATCAACGTTTCCTTCGTCGCGTAAGGCCGTGCAACACCGTGGAGTTTAACTCATCTTCTCTTGAACGCTTATTATCAGACACGTTCCAATCGACTCTTCTCTGAAGCCATTTACAGTCACCAAAACTAAAACCGAATCAGAAGGTCGGTGGTTCAACCCCGGGTTCCTCCAGCCTGTGTGCTGGAGTATCCTGAGGCGTAAACCCCCCAAAACACTGCATTCACCACCAGCTTACAGCTGACTTAATAGTGGGTGGTGGTGCATGGCCGTTCTTAACTGGTGGTGCGATTTGTTTGGTTAATTTTGATAACGGAGGAGACTCTGACATGCTACCTAGTGGCTGTAGCTCAGGGGGTAGAACCAGAGGTCTTCTACGGATCGGGAGGTTGGGAGTTCGATCGATGGCTCCCCCAGCGTGCATGCCAAATATCCTTGGGCGAGATACTGACCCCAAGTTGCTCTTGAGTGTGAATGTTGTACAAAGACTCAAAGCTGAATTTAATGCAGGGTTGTCTACATAGCTGGGAATAAACTTTGTGGATACCCTCGTCGACCTCCCTGGAGGATGATCTGCTGTTTGGGCCCATTGAGACAAACCTGCGCCTCCTGACAGCCGTGCATCCATGTTTGATGAGGAGAAGCTGCAGCTCAGTGCGGATAGGAGACGTTTCATTTACAGAGGTCGAGTTTCCCGTCAGAGACTAGCAGGACAAACCCGTCCCAGCCTCCTCACACTCTCTCGTTACCTGCTGAGCGCTACGAGCCGGCACTAACACGAGTTTGTTTCTCTCAGGTCGGTGCGAGAGCTGCTGCGCATCTGCTCCAAGAAGGAGAAGGTGTCCTACACTCTGAAGGTACGGCAGCCGAGTTTCACCGAGCAGCCACGAACACTTCAGGAAAAAAGTTGTTTCGAGTGTGCCAAAGGTCTCTGTGGGAGCGCTTAAAGTAGAGTCTACGTCTTTTTAATGACGACACTTCGGCTTTAAGAGCCGAAGCGGAAATTTGCA